TTTCCCTGAGAACAGAATAGAAACTGCCTTTGGACATTTATTATCTTGTGTCTGACCCTCGCTTTTCTGATTCCGGACAAGTGAGCTATGTTTTTTTCTAAGCAGATGTCCACCTTTGACCGAGATAGTTTTGACTTGTGAAAATACATTGAGCAGAAATGGAAAAGGCAAAAAGAGCAAAGAGAAATGTCTGAATAGAGGAGCAGGAACATGCTGTGTCCATCTGCCTCGTGAAGGGGCTGCCTTTGCAGCAGGCAAGACATTTCCAAATGTAAGCTTTCAAACACGTGTCTCTGTCCCTTCTGAGAACTTTGGATGTGCGTGTTCTAACAGGGACAGCTGTAATTTAGGACTCGGTGGAGCACTTAAAGGAGCACACTTCCTTTCTCTTGAAGCAGTATCGCTGGTCTTGCTCCTCTGCTGGCTCGCAAAGTGCTTGCACTGACAGCATGGCGTGTGCCGTTGCCAAAGGTGTCGAGAAACGCAAGGGAGGAAAGCTGGCCTGGAGGCTAATGTGCAGAGTGCTTGTGGAAAAAGTGACAGCAGGAGAGTTAATGAAAAGCAGACACTGAGCACTGGAAGCTGCTCAGCCAAGAAATTCTGCACAGTCCAGGCTTTTCTCTGGTATCCAATAAAAACGTGTTACAATTTGGCTACCCTCTCTGTTACCCTGGGGAAAGTGGTGCAGGCACGAATAGCCCGGTTACGTGGCTTCTGCGCTGGGCACCACCTGGAAGAAAAACAGATGCCGTGTTAATCTTGCAATGTGAGCGTGTGTCTGGAGAGGCAGAAGCCCAGTGTTTCTTGTCCAAATTCCTACTGGGAACCCGGAGGCTGCCTTTGGCCGCTTCCCTCTGTGGTCTGTAGATCTGGATGCTCCTGTGTCTCATGCTTAGGAAGCTGCTTTCTCCCGAGTGCCCACTGTGTCCCCTGAAAGCTGGTATCCACACCGCTGAGGTGTGTTAGCAGCGTGTCCCCAAGTTGTTATTGCCCAAACAGCCTTTGACCAGGGGCTGGTGCCTTAGTGCTTGGGGCTGAACGCAGAGAGGCAGCTGCTGCCTGGAGCGGGTTTTTTCTGTAGTGAGTTGGTTGGTTTTTTTTTCTGGTGCAATGATTAATTAAAGGTGTACTGTGAAGTAAAGTCCTTGCATAGCAGTGTGGGTGTGCTGCAGTCTAACTCCTCTAGAAATGACAGTCTTGCTTTTGGCAGAATGGAAGCATCCTGCTTGGAACTGGCCCTGGAAGGAGAGCGCTTGTGCAAGGCTGGGGACTTCAAAGCCGGGGCAGCCTTCTTCGAAGCAGCGGTGCAGGTGGGGACAGAGGACTTGAAGACTCTCAGTGCCATCTACAGTCAGCTGGGCAATGCCTATTTCTACCTAAAGGAGTACTCCAAGGCCCTGGAGTACCATAAACACGACCTTACTCTGGCCAGGTAAGCATGTCAGCAGTGCTTCATCCTAAACGGGCTCAACCTTTCAAGGCTTCAGCGAAAGCCAGTTCTGTGGGGTCTGAACGCAGCAGCCTGAGGGAATCTGCCCTGGAAATAAGCACCCAAAGTAGCCCTGAGGCACGTAGAGAACTTGGGAGGCAACAAGAACGGGCCAGCCACCTTCAGAGCTGGGAGGTGGAGAAAGGGATATGGGTGTGAGGAGGGCATTTGGAGCAAGAGCAGGGCAGTGTCCAGTTCTCCTGTCCCCTGGTGCTTGTAAGTACACCTGAAGTCACTGGAGTAGTTCACCTGAGACAGCAAAACAGGGAACAAGGATCTGTCTTCAAAATTGAGAGAGCCTGTATGAAGCACTCCAGCCAGGTGTGTGTGCTGGGAACTGCTGGATGTGGCACACGTACCGTGCGGTGCTTGCTGCAGCTTGAATTCTGCCTCCAGCAGTTGGTGAATAAAAGCCTGTGAGCTCTTTTACACCTCTCTTCCTTCCTCTGGTTGTGTTACAGAACCATCGGGGACCGCATTGGAGAAGCCAAGGCAAGCGGCAACCTCGGGAACACACTGAAAATACTTGGGCAGTTTGATGAAGCTGTCGTTTGTTGCCAGAGACACTTGGACATTTCTCAGGAGCAGGGAGACAAGGTAATTGCTTCGTGGCATCCAACAGGAAATATTGCCTAGCTTTAAAGATGATCTGCCTGCAAGTCGGTAGATGTGATATGGTGAAGGTGGGCTTTGGAAGGAGGTGGAGTGTAAAGCTCTCCCTTCTGGCTGCCATCACAGGTCTCTCGCTGCTGACAGTAACAGCTCCCATGATGGTGAAGATGGGAAAGGAAAATGTGGGCCTCCTGGCTTTGACCATCTCTGCCCGGCAATGGAAAGGTCCATATTGGGATGTGAAGTGTAATACCTTGCTGCTCCCTCTTCTTCCTCCCTTTAGGTAGGTGAAGCCAGAGCACTCTATAATATAGGAAATGTTTACCATGCAAAGGGAAAGCACTTATCTTGGAACACGGCCCAAGACCCAGGCTACTTGCCTCAAGAAGTCAAGGAGACGCTACAGAAAGCTTCGGAATTCTATGAGTAAGTATTCAAGCTTGGCCAACCCTTTCTCCTGCAGGGAACAGGGCTAGTCAGGCATTGGTGATGGCTAAAATGCACACAGGTACGCCTTTGAGCTCATCCTGCTCAGATCATAGCCTGCATTTGTGGTGTTCCTGTTTTGCTGGCAGCTTTCAGGGTCTGTGGGTTAGCTGAGCTCTGATAACCGTTAGGCTAGTGAGAGCTGCACGGAGATGACAGTTTTTATTGAGTCCTCTGGAAGCATTTCTCATAGAGGAGGTTTGTTTCCTGAGCCACTGAGGATATGGGAGCTCTGGAAGATGTTTGTTGCAAAGAATGAGACTGTGGGCTCCGTGTTGTTGAAAATTAGGCCACTGAATGAGGTTTTGCATGTTGTAAAGAATTTGGAATATTCCCCTGAGATGCCAAGTTATGATGGCAAATTAATCTCAAGGAAGGTGAAAGGGACTGCAAGCTTTTACGAAATCAGAGCTAAAATTCATCCTGGCATTGCCTTGGTAAAACTCACTGTAGTTTGAAGTATGATCATGCAATTAAGTTCAATAGTCTGCTCCTTCTCAGAGCTGTATTTGGAAGCTAAACTTTAGCTCCTGTAGCCCCTGCTGCTCTCTGCTGGCCTCGATGAGAACGGATCCCTGCGTGTCTCCATCGCTGGGGCCGGGAACAGAGACCTCCTTCACCTAAGGGAAGAGGCTTTCACTTGAAGTCCCGATTGTCCTTCTCATGGATCTGTAGTTTATCTTGCTTGTAACATCCTTCCCTTTCCTAAATAGTTTCAGAGATCACTCTGATGTCCCATACAGGAAGGTTGTCACCAGATTTTCGGGCTAATGTTTTTCTCCTTGTACTTCAGAGTTGTGCTTCAATAATGCAGGGCTTTTAAGTAGCCTTTTTAAATGAAGAGAGTGACAAGATCTGACATCCATCTTCTTGTATCTGAGGATGTGATAGTGCGTATCTATAGCTCACCATGCTTCTCCCAAAGAGGGTGCATGTAGCATAGCCAGCGGGTAAATTTGTGCCAGCTGGGAGCTCTGAGCTTCTGTATGTGTGCTATATGTGTAAAGAGGGGAAAAAATAAGTAAAGAAATGCTGGGAAGCTCCATAAGCAGACACCAGACATGGGACTGTGGGTCTTCCCCCTCTCCCCAGGTTCTTCCCTGTCCTGCTGTAGGTAAAGCTCCTTTCTCCTGTGCTCTTGGTTCTCCCCTGTGCAGTGAGGTGGCCATTTCTTGTGTGATGTGGGATGCTATCAGACCATCGGGGTGTGAGCGGTTCCCGCACACAGCCGCAGGTTGAGGTCAAGAGAGCAGCAGGGAACAGGCTTTCACCTGCCGAGGGGTGACTGCACAGGGCAGGCGACTGGGGAGGGAAACTGCCTTCCTCCAGGGTTAGCTCTCCTTTCGTTGCAGTGCAGGCTTCCTCGCTGTGTCTCCTGCAGAGGGTTGGCTGTGTCTCACCAGGTGCCCTGCTCCGATTTCTTTCAGGAGGAACCTGTCCCTGGTGAAGGAGCTGGGGGACAGAGCTGCGCAGGGCCGTGCTTATGGCAACCTCGGCAACACCCAGTACTTACTCGGCAACTTCAGCGAAGCTATAGCCTTCCACAAGGAGGTAGGGAACCGCTGCGCCTCCCTCCCGGGGTCGGGGGCTGAGACTGGCCATTGAGGAGCAACCTTTCTTCTCACCACAGCCTGGGAAGTACAGGGAGATGTTTTCCCCCCCCAGCTGGTTTTCTCCCTCCTGTGTGTACCTCAGGGTCTGGCCCTGTTGTACTAACTCACGCTGAGCAGCATCCTACTCCAGTCCCCGTCAGCACCTAATGAGCAGCTTGAGTGAAGGATGCTGTTGGCTTGGAAACCAAAGGAGGTATCGAAGGACGAATTGCAGCTGGGCCTAGCAAGGCTTTCTGCTCTTAATTTGTACCAGTCTAGATTTTAATAAATGCAAGCCATGAATTTAATTAAGCTGCTGAAAGAGCTGTTGATCAGGAATAAATGTTGCTTGTAGAACATAATAACTTTCTGTAAAGCTTTCCAGAGGAGTAAGGGGACACAGTCCCTGCCCCACTTCAAATGCAATTCAGCTTCTATTTCAGAGTATGTATGGGTTTGCTTGCAGTGGGAGGTGCTCAGCACCCTGGCAAGTCAGCCCTGTCACAGCTCTTCTGATTTTTAGATGCCGGGGGACAGCAGCCAGCCGTGCTTCAGCTTGAAAAGGGACAGAAAAGCTCTGTGCAGTATTTGGGACCAGAAGCAGGTGCTGCAAAGCAGAGGTGGGGGGAGCAGGGGGATATGAGAGGGAGAGGCAGGGCTGAAGTACGGGCAGGGGCAGAGGTCTGGGGAGCAGCTGCAGCACAGACGGTGAGCGGGAGCGCACACGTGTGCACGTTTGTGCTGTGCAAACTGACGGCCGTGTTCCTGCACGCTCGTCGGCTGCTCAACCACATCCCTTCACAGCCTGCCCTGCAGCTCTCCGTGTGTGCACAACTCCTTTCGCACTTCAGCGAGAGAGATGCGTACTGACCCGGCTGGACCGAGAGAGAGGAGGATGCGACGTTACTCCCGCTTTTCCAAAGGCCCTTCCTGATCCTAAATTACAAGAGGAGAGATTTCCTGCTGCAAACGACCCCTACCTTGCTGGGTGGGAGCTTTGCAAAACTTTTTTTTCTCTCAGAAAAGTCGCTGTGTAATGGAAACCTGGCAATGGCCAGCCTGTGCTCACTGATCTGTGTCTGCCGCAGCGCCTTGCTATTGCGAAGGAGTTTGGGGACAAGGCAGCCGAGCGGAGAGCGTACAGCAACCTGGGCAATGCGCACATCTTCCTTGGGAGGTTTGACATCTCTGCCGAGTACTACAAGTAAGTGCTGGGGGCTGAGGCGGGCTCAGGGCAGATATTCCCTGGGAATCCTGACCTATTGCGGTGGATTCATAGGCTCAGGGGGATGTGACAAGGGACTTGGAGGCCGGTTGCATGGGTGTCGCTCGGCAGTGGGGAGTAATACAGCCACCTGACAGCCAGCGGTGTGTTACAGGCATCAGCTTCGACGCCGCGCAGGCCAAAGTGGTGACTTTCCTGTTGCCTTGCAGAGGTGCCCTGTAGTGACCGGGTTCCTTCATTCCCCCTTGTTCCATGCAGGAAAACGCTCCAGCTCTCCAGACAACTCAAAGACCAAGCAGTAGAAGCCCAGGCTTGCTACAGTCTTGGAAACACGTACACGCTGCTTCAAGACTATGAAAGAGCAATCGAGTACCATCTAAAACACCTGGTGATAGCACAGGAGCTGGGAGACAGGTAAAGGACAGCCTCAGGAGACGGTGGCTCTCACCCTTCCCTGTTGACTTACTGTTCTCTACTGCTGGGGTTAAACAGCAGTGACGTGTAGTCTTGAAAGTCTTTAGAAAGCTCTCAGAACCCAGGCCTTAGCCCAGTCATCTGTCAGAAATGTAACGTGATTGACACCTTTATCATGTCGTTCAAACCTGGAGAGTGTGCCCTTAATGCCAAGTCTGCGTGGGCTGAGTGAGATTTCTAACAAGAGGTACTGCAAGAAAAAGCATTGTATTTGGTGCTTGGCTGTGTGGCTGCTGCTGTTTTATCCCGGCAGGGCCCCTCTAGAGCTCCCTCAAGTTCACAAAAATTGTATCTTTCTTAGAAACTGTGTGGTTAGGGAAAACATACAGGCCACTCTGTCCTGTTGGTCTGAGCTGATGCTGGAAACTTCCATGTAGATAGAAACAAATGATGATAAATAGAACATGTGGAAATGGTATATTTTGCTGCTTGACCTCATTCCTTCTTCTTTAGGAGACCTGGCCTCATTTTAAATGTTTTTTTCTGTATATATTTTTTAAGAAACGTTGGTTTCTTTCTCCTGGATACTCTCTCTGTGATCCTGTAGCTTTCTTGCAGCTGAAGTGACTTTGCAGCCACCTGGTTCAGGGTGAGCTGCTGATGGCTCTTGGGAAGCTGGGTGTCCTCCACTAGATGGAGCAGAGACATTAGAATGGGAGCTCTGTGGCACTATCAGGGCAGTGTCTGCTCAGAGAAGGTATAATCCCACCCAAGGCTGAATCATGCTGTGGGGGTGCAGGCCTGTGGGCTCCTGCATTTCTGGGAACACACCCTATGAGCAGAAGGTATTGAACAGGGTGACAAGAAAAATGTTTAAATGCTGATCAACCCGCCCAAACCTCTGAAAAGGGAGTTGCAGTCATGCTGAACCTCCCCCCGCGCCCCCATGTGCTTTTTTTATCCCATCGCCCCCCACATCTGCTCGTTTGCAGAGCTGAGCAGGCTCTGACGAACAGGAGGTCTCTGCCTGCTTGTGCAAACAGGTGCTGAAACCTGCTCCAGAGACACCTGGGTGTCTGGTGAGGGCTGCCCCGGGGCAGGTTTCATGTTTGCCTGCTTTCCCTGGCCTCTGAAAAGCAGCAGCAGAGCCCTGGAGGGTGCCCTGGAGGCCTCGTTGGAAATAGGTCGATGTTGGCTTGGCTGTTGCCTGCAGTTTGAGTTCGTGCAGGCATCCGGGGCTATGCAGCGCTGGTACTTCGCAGGAGAACGTTGCATGCCTGCGATGTTCTCTCCTTGCCATGGTCTTGCTGGTTTAGCTCTGGGGCTGTTACGGAACAAGGGGGCTGGGTGTTGCGCGCCCTCTTGGTGCGTGGTGCGTCTCTGGAGAGGAATCCTTGCTGTGCGAGGTGGAAGCTGGACAGGAGCTCTGGCTTCTGCTCTCAGACCTGTGCCCACAAATGAAGCCAAACCCCTCTTTGCCACTGGGGGTGCAGGCCTGCTTCTGAGGCTGTTGCTCATCCCCTGATCTTACGGACCTCAGCATAAGAAGAGTTCAAGATGGACAGTGCATTTCATTTTCCTTTGTAGAAGGGGGTGAAAACCTAGCCAGGAGGCCTGGCCGTCAGTGCTCTCGAGAAGGAGGCCCTTGAAAGGGCTGCTGTGCTGCTGGGTTTTGCCCAGCATTTCTGTGGTTGACAGTTTCCTGTTTTGCAGGGTGGGAGAAGGAAGAGCCTGCTGGAGTCTCGGAAATGCCTATGTCTCCCTGGGGAGCCATGAACAAGCTTTGCACTTTGCAAGGAAACATCTTGAGATCTCCCAAGAGGTAAGAGAAGCTGGTTCAGATCACAGGGAATCAGTCCTCCCCGTTGAGAGACTTTATTTTATGCCAATAAGTTGTATTAATGTAGTTCTTCTCCTGCGATGACTGCTCTGGAAAGCCCTTTCAATGGTGTCCTTAGGAACTGCAGAGCTTGGCTGGAAAAAATATCCTTTTTACGGGAGGCTCCCAGCCTTCCCCTCGATTACAGCTGACTCATTTGTTGTACATTGCTCTTAACTGATATTCCTGGGTGAGAAAGGACCTGGGGACTAGTTGTTGGGTCTGCTGGCCAAGGTGGTGTGCACTCAGCTGGTGCGAAGGAACTCGGATACCTCTTGGTGTGTCCAGTCTGTTTGTAAGAGCCCCCTTTCCTGAACACAAGGCTGGGAGATCCTGACTGAGATGGACCTTGTGATTGTAGCTGTGGTCTGACCCAATTTGCTGGCAATTTGCTGGAGAAAACAGGGCCAGCTTCCACCTGGTGGCTGGGTGCTCTGAATTTGCTCTGTTTTGCACTGCAGCAGGGTCTGTTTGAGTTATTTCCTCTCAGTGGAGCTGGCAGGGGGTCCCAGCTGTGAGGTGGTAAACTCTAGCAGTGTCCTCACGCTGGGCCAGCCCAGCCTGCAGCTAGCCCCGTGCTGCTGCCACACCATGTGGGGTTTCGTGCGTGCAGCTACTCCGGGTTTCGCAGATGCGCTTGCCCAGCCAGCTGCAGCTTTCCTGGCGCAAGAGCATACGGCATTTTTACATGGCTCAGAAGTGCAGAAAGCCAGAATTCCGTTGTTTGCTCTTTCCAGTGTGTTATGAGGGAATCTGCTGTGGCCTCTTTAGACTTCCCCAGATGAAGAAATTGCCCTGTTGAAGCACTAATTGAAACCACCGTATGTAAGTGCTTTGTGCGTTCTCCTGCCTGTCTATTAGGTTGGCTAAATCTTGGGGTAGGGCTGACATTCCAGCCTAATTATGTGTTTAATTATACTTATCAGACACGCACAAGAAATCCTGTTCTTTGGCCTTACCCATTTCAAGGACAAATTAACTTTTCCAGCTGTAGTCTGCTAGGACCGTTGTGGCGCGGGGCTGATGACTCGGAGCCAGACGGCAGCTCGTCGGTGTGCAGTGCAGATGAGGGGTGAGGGGAGGACAGGAGCAGTAGAGGTCCTGGTGACTTCTGGGGTGGAGGAGAAACCCGACAGGGAGGGGGTTCACAGTGTTCTCAGTCTGAGGTGATGGCCGTGATTACAGGGCATGTCAGGAGTGGGTTACTCATGGCAGGTGGCTGATAAACTCCCCCACATCATTAATTATGGAGCAGTGCAGAGACTTGTCCGTTTGTGAGGAGAGCCTGCATTAGCTTTTAGCAGCTAGTGATTCTGGTACAAAGCTGATGTTTTATTTTAGCCTTGGGAGCCAAGCGAGCTGCGTGTGCTGTTGTGGCAAGCGCCAGCATTTTGCCCAGGAGAAACCGGGTGAAGTTAAACCTTTGCACGCTGATATTTATAACTCTGTTCCCGTCACCCTTTCCCCTGTTTCCTCCAACAAAAATCTGATGGTGACATTTGAATCCAAATGAAATTGGCTCAGGGTAACCACATAGGAAGCTGCTGCGGGGTGATCTGAGGTTACTGAAAAATTTCCTCTGAAACAACTGCAATAAAGGTTGTGTACCTAAACCTTGGAAGCTGCCCCAGCTCTCAGACACTGCTCCAGAGTACCTTTTCCATCTCTGTGTGTCACAGGGGGCTCCTGGGAAACTGCGACATCTGAGCTGAGGGCAGAAAATGGGGCTCTGCTATGGGGCATGTGGTAGGTCCTGCCGAGGCTCGTTGTCCTGGCAGTGTGTTCCTCTGCTGTTAGTAGAGCCTTGGAGATGATCTGGAGTGAGTGGAAGTCAGGGAAGAGTTTAACAGCATCAAGGACTGCGAGACCTAACCAGGACATAGTCATTTCTCTGGAGATGATGTCAACAGCAAATCTCTTGTAATTGGCAGGGTATTTATGCCTGATGATAAGCCGTTTGATCTGCCTCCCTTTACTAAGTCAGGGGCTTTGTCATAAATAATGTGGGGATTTATGATTTTGTTCTAGGATGGCTCACCCTGCAGCCTATCTCAAAGGACCACAAAAGAGCTGTTGCAAGGCATTTAACAGGGAGTCGGGGCTCTCCAAGGAAACAGCCAAGGTCTTCCTCTGTAACAGCGGCTGCTGTCCCTCTGAAGATTAGAGGCTGTTTCTAAGTGACCTCTCGGTGTTTGCTGGTGATAGGCAGCGCAGTAATTTTCTCGTTCGATTAAACTTTGAGGAGTGCCCAGCAGCATGTCCTATGGCTCCCCATTTTAAGTAGCAGGAGCCGTTGGACAGATCTCTTCCTGAACATGGAACATCGGCTTCCTTGGCCTCAGGCCAGTGAGATGGGAATTTGGAAAAAATTTGGACTCTCGAAGACTTTGGAGTCTTGTGTGGGTAGATCACTAGGAACAACTCAAAGCTGTATGGATCTGAGCCAGGAGAGAAGGGCTTTCGGAGCATCCGAGCCCTGAATGTGACACTGCCCACGTGGCTGGTAGTAGCGTGGCTGTCTGGTGCTCGGTAACTATGGAGATACTTGAGGAAGGGGGCTGAGAGCTTCAGGGCGCTCTGCCAAGCTATGTGCGGCTACAGGATGGACCAGACGTGCATGTTTACTGTGTCCCAGTTCTGTAGCAGTGGGCGAGCTGTGCCCCCTCAGCCCCTTGTACCAAACCCCACAGAAACGCGGTTTGAGGTGCAGCCAGTGCACGGCACAGCACGCACGGGCTCTCTGCCCAATTCTCACCCAGGAGGAGTTTTGGAGGGTTGCTTTGGCGTTGAAAGCCGGGCTGTGTGGTGTCTCAGGGTGTCTCCAAACTCTCTTCTGGCTGGCTGTGTGTTTGCCTTGCTACGGGACTGGCAAACCCTTTGCTAGGGGCCGTTGGCTTCGAGCGTGTCGCCTTTTAACCAGCTGCCCTGTTGGTTTTCACCCTGTAGATCGGGGACCGGAATGGTGAGCTGACAGCGCAGGTGAACATGGCCCAGCTCAAGGCGACCCTCGGCTTGGGCCCTGGGGATGAGGACACGGGTACAGCTCATCACTATTCTGGCTATGAAGCACAAGGTGAGCTTCTGGGTTTTTTGCTGGCGTGGAAAGGTCTCGTGAAAGATGTGGTACGGTGCGTGGGGAGGGGTTTGCAAGTGGGCAACGGGGGAGGAAATGCGAATGGCTGAGCAAGATGAGGCTATCGAGTGCCTTCAGCAGAAAGGAGGCTGCCGTGTGTTTGCTCTGGGCTTTCCATAAGCTGCAAGTGCAGGGAAGGATCCGCCCCAAAAAGGACACAGAACGAGTTAATGGAATTAATCTGCATTGGGAATGAAACTTCATGTGCCAGGCAGCAAATCAGCTTTTGTCTCTTTTAAAGCTCTGCAGGGCCCTTTTAACTGATTTGACTGATAAAGGAAGCTTTCACAAAGGTGACTGGCAGGGATTTTTGGCTGCTCTTGTTCTGATTAGCACCCACGGAACTGAAGGCAGGTTGTGAGCATCAGCACGCCGGGTGCTGTCTCACCCCTGGAACACCTGCAGTGGTGTCCAGCTTGGAAACAAAGATGTGGCAAGACTCGGCCACAGCAGGCAGGACGGCTTTGCTCGCGGCGCTGGGCCCTGGGTTGGTCTGTCTCTGCTCCTCGGGGAGCAGGAGGGCACAGCTGAGTCCTCGCCACAGCGTGCTGTCAGCCTGCCAGCCTGACGTGTGTCCCCAGCTCGGGGACCGTCTGCCTGTCCTGGAACTGCCCGCTGCAGACATTTGTGGGTGCCTGGCATGGGGCACTTCCAGCTGGTTGCTCTGTCACTGTGGACAGACTTATTAATTCACACAGACGAAACTGCATCCCGGGAGGTGCCGACTGATTAAATATGACCTTGTTAGTGCAGACACAGTTTCTTGGGCGGTATGTTCTTTCCCATCGGTAGGACTGACGTAGAGAAGGTGATGCCTGGGTTGAGGCACGGTGTTCTGGGGGTGAGAAGGGCCGGCTGTGCGTGTTTGCTCTCTGTATTGATCTTGAAGGTGTAGCCTGCTGCGTTGGTGCTAAAGCTTTTCCTGAGAAGCCGAGCTGTGGGTGAGGGGGCCAGCGTGTCCTGCTGTGCCCCATCAGGAGCTGCACTGGAGCTGAGCTGTTTCTTCAAAGGGCCACGTGGGCCACAGTGGCTGGCCCCCCCCATGTCACATCCATCTTTATAAGTGCCAGGAAACTTATTAGCTGGGGCTTTCTGTTCATTCCTGGCATCTCCTAGGGGCTTCCTTTTGGAAAATTAAAAAAAAAAAAGAGGAATAGGAAACTAACCTTGATGTTGCTGCTGCTCCTGGGACAGAATGAAGGGTGGAGGAAATGAGCTGATGGGGTGCCAGGTCTCTCAGGCTGGGGAATGGAGGGGTGCAGGAGGAGAGCGGTGCCAAGGACTGCGTGGGCATGAGAGCACGGCATGCCGGGACGTGTTTGACTGGATGCATATTGCGTGGAAAAGCTGCAGCAGAAGGGGTCAGGCTGGATTGATCTGGGAGAGGTGCTCTGTAGCTCTGACCATAGTGCATAACCAGGAGCGCACAGCCTTCTCTTAGCTGGAAAAAAACCTGGAAAAAAAAATACAGCAAGGAAGTCTCTGCTCTCCTAACACACTTCCCGTTGAATCTAGGCTTGAATGCAACCTGCTATGGACTGGTCTGGTGTCCCGCTGCAGGCAGGGCAGGGTATCTTGGGGGTCAGGGAGGGTTTTGGTCCGAGCGGAGCCTTTCTAGGGGAGAGCTGAGCCTGGCGTGTGGCAGAGTCCTCCACGTGGACCGTGACACAGCCTCGCCACCTCCCTGGCTCAGCCCCACCGACCGCATCCCACAGCACGAGACTCGCAGAGCGTGCGGCACTGAAGGGTTGGGATTTTTGCTGAAGGCACGCGGCAAGCCTGGTCAGTCACTGGGCTTAACTCTGAAGGTGAGGCAGGGCGAGGCAGAGCCAGCGTGTGGCCCGTGGGCCGCTCACCGCCCTCCAGTGATCCAGATGTGCCTGTGCTGCGTTAACATCTGGAGCCAGTAGTGATTTTTCTCTCATCTGCCACTGGCCTGTGTGTGTGTGATCGCTGGAGGGTGGGAAGAGGGCTGAGCAGCTGCAGGCAGAGGCGGTGTTTGCTGGAGTTTGCAGTGACCTTGTTAATCTGGTGCCGTTGCTCACATTCCCAAGGCTGGGGCTGTTGCTGACAGAAGGACAAAGTGTTCTCTGGAGGAACAACAGCAAGTGATGGGGGCTTGCGGTGCGGGAGAGACCGCAGGGCCAAGGGCAGGTTCGCCTGCAGAGGAGGACTTCCCCAGTCGGTGGGACGTGGGGGATGCTGACCCTTGCAGGGTCCTGGGAACCTGCTGGGGAGGTAAAAATCAGCTGCTCCTGTGCAGCGGGGGCTGGGGCTGCACAGCAGCATCTTGCCAGAGGAAGGGAGTGCGAGTGTTGCAGTGCTTAGCTGCGCGCGTGCTTTTACACACGTATCTGAGGTGGGAAAGGTGCTGGCCCTGTTGCATAGAGATTTGGGTCTGCAGGACAGCCTGTGGAGAGGAGCCTGGCTCCCTTGATTTCTCCTTAGCTTTAATAAGAGGGCTTCAGCTCTCTCATGATGAACTTCAGTGGGGGATAAGAGAGGCCGCCAATGTGTCTCTGAGCACTTGAGAGTAAGGGAGATATATTTAATGGCTGTCAGGAATTTTGGTACCCTCCTGTGCACCTATTAAATGATTAGAAAAGCATAATTATTTATATTATTAATAGCAGCAATTTACAGCAAGAGGAACATCTGTTGCTGTGACAGGAAGCAGGTAAGAGAGTTGAGATTCAAGTTGACTTCTGCACCAGCCGTGCCTTTTGATGTCAACAAATCTCATGGTGAGGAGAGCTTTTGATTTTTATTTTCCCTGCTTAAGGTTATCGAATGTCTGTGTATTCATAAGGATGCTAAAGTCATCTGATAAGGCAGGCATGTTACAGAATACATTAATTTCATCAAGCAGGTAGAAGAAAGTTTCATAGCGAACTTGAGTTCGGGAAAGTCTGTACCATTGGCTGAGAAACCCTGAGCCAGACCATCAGACTATGATGTCCTTCACAGGTTACTTTTGCTTCTAAGTCTTGGGCATTGCCCTCCACCAGGGACCTGGGGGCGGAAGGAGTGTCTGATGTTTTCCTCTGCTGTTTTGTCCCCTCTTGCTGAGCTCTTTGTGATTTTTAATTAATATTCTGAGAGCAATTGGATGTCAGAAGACAAAGCTGGAGGCCAGGGAAGTGGGGTAGTGCTGCAGAGAGTCTTGTGAAAGCAATGACCTTGTCAAGAAACGCAAACACAGAGAGCTTAAAGCAACAAACAGAAAGAACCTAGAGAGTAGCTAAAACCTGAAGCAAATAAACGGAGGTTGTGTCTGTTTCTCCAACCAACCAGAAATGTGACCCTGAAGAACGGTCTTGCCCTCTTTCACACACCACAGGTTAAGAATTGAGTCCTGGTAGGCTTTTGCCTTTGGAGAGAAGTAAGGGAACTTGCTGTGGCTGTAAGGGAGTTGTTTTGTAGGGGTGAAGGCAAGCATGAACAAGAAGCAGTGCTGCCTGGTGCTGGGAGATGTCCCAGGCTGCGAACAGCCAGCTCTGTCCTCGGTGGTGCTCCTGGACGTGGGGTGGGAGCGCTGGCTGCCCTTTTTCCAGATCAGTTGGTTTATGCTGAGGTTTCAGCATCTGCTGAGCAAGGAGTGGGCTGTGCCTACTGCTCTGTGGTGGGCAGCGGTGAATTGGGAGCACTGAGCTGAGCCCTTCCTAGCCTGAGCCTGGTGGTAGTGCCTGCCTGGGCTGTCCCTGGGCAATTCAGGTCTCTGCTGTACACTGAGCAGAGTGCTCCTTGCAGCATTCCCCTCTTCAAATCCTCCTTGTCAGCTCTCCCTTCTGGAGGCTGGCACCTCCAGGGCAGCCTGCATGCTGGAGGGGGGGGGAGTGCAGAGAAGGGGCTCACCCACCACCGAAGGGGTGGAAGTGCTGGACAGAAGGCGGAGAGCAGCCTGGGCCAGCTGCAGTGCCTCTCCAAAGCAAAAAAAACTGACTCTGGGCTGCTTTTCTTTTGCTCTCAGCAGCATGTCAGCCTCAATTGTCATCTCTGATGGCAGCGGTAGCATTAGGAGACACTGAGCGACACCTCTCCTGGCAGCTGGGTGTAGGTGGGGAGGGATGCAGGTGTTCCAGAAGGCGTTAGCACGTAGATGCTTTCAGAATATTGTAAGCTGGTTCCTGGCATGGTTTCTGTGCTGTTTGCAGTACGCAGACACTGCTGCCCAGCCATCTCAACAAGCTCTGAGGGCAGGAAAGGACTCGGTCATGAGCCTGATTTTTCCCCCCCCACTGTCTGCACATCTTCTGCTGAAAAAGGATAGGTGCAAAGCTGATCTGCTTGTTTGGTGTTCAGGAGCCTCTGTGCTGGGTGCTGCCCATCCCTGTGAGAGAGGCAGCCGTGCTTCAGCTTGAATCCCCAAGCAGTGAAATGGGCAGCTGAGCCTGGGTGGGCATGAAATCCAACTCCTTTCTAAGCTCTGTGTAGCTTTGAATGTGGGTCCTTGCATCCTCAATGAAGTTTTGAGCTTGCCTTCTTCAGAGGCATCTTGGAACCCTTGGATCAATTAGACAGGGGTAGAAGAAATCTGCTTTTATGTTTCTCAGCCTGTTTGGTTTTGTTTGTTTGCTTGCTTTAAATATCTTTGAAGTGTCTAAGAAGTGTTTAGGGCTGTTGAAATCCGCCAGATTGACCAGCCCTCTGCTGACGCAAAGCAGGGAGGCTGCAGTGCTGCTAACCCGCGCCAGCCTGGGCCTTGGTCTGGGATGCTGCCCAGGGATGTTCCTCCTCTGTGGTTTGCTCGACCCTCCTGCAAAGGACTGTGCTGGGTGACAGCCCAGAGCTGTGGCCCTCCGAGACCAGTGTCTTTCTGACTGTGGGACAGCCCTGCTCACTGAGGCTGTCATTCCAGTGTCAAAGGAGCATTTGCCTCCCACCCGGGGTCACATCACTAATGGCTTCAGCATGGAACCTGCCCGGTTCTTACTAGTCAG